AGATATAAGGAAGGAAGGAAAACAGGGAGGAAGGAGAGGAAAGGAAGGAAGGAAGGAAGGACTTTGATTTTCTGGTAGTAAAATTGGACTTATAGTCTTTTTGTAGGAACAACAGCCTGTTGTCAATTTAGACCAAATGGTGCTTTTTCCTTATACATTGTGGGTTCAAGCTGACCAAATATGATTATTAATCCTCAGCTGATTCACTTCCGTTCTTCTTGAGGCCAACTATTTAGTTCCACTGCAATTGAGGCCAAATATTTAATTCCACCCTCAGAGGTAAAGGGAATCACCCTACTGTTCCTATAGCTAAAAGAGTGATATTGCAATATTTGAAAGATAAATACATGGCCCATTTTACTGAGTGGATTGAAGAATAGACTAGAATCATTAGACAGAGAGAGTGGTTTGGGGGTCAGTCCCATTCCCTCAGCCCAACCCACCTCACAGGGTTGTTGTTGAGGGCAAAGTAGGAGGAGGAAGTTGTGTCGGATATGTTCTCTGCCTTGAGTTACTTATAAAAATAATGATGAGATACAAATAAATAAATAAAATATACACGTGCTACTTATGAGAAGATCTGCCTATAGACATAGTCTTTGTAGGGATAAATATAATGAAATATGATTCATTTTTACAGAACTCAGTTGGTTAAAAAAAAGCATGATAGTTATATCAGTTTATTAGAAATAAATAACTATACATATGCATATACATATACATATAATGATATACACTATCATTATAACTGCAGTCACTAAATGAATGGCTGTAAGTCGAGGACTACCTATATGTAAAGATAGTCCTTCACTTACGACTGATCACTTAGTTTGAAATTACGACGGATTTTCCTGAGGCTACTTATGACCCCAGATTCCAACTACCAACAACCAGGCCTTGCTCATACTTACGTGCTCCCATTTGGGTTGCCAGGCAACTGGCCCACATTTACAGTCATTTGAGTATCCTGAGGTCACAGGACCACAATATAAGGTGGTTCTTTTTTTTTTTTGCAGAAAATTTTCTGCAATTACTTCTGGTTTCTGGCAAAACAAAACCCCTCGGCTGCCGTCCGTAGATTCATTAAACAACTGCTAACTTCACTTAAACAACCGGCTTAAAAACGGTCTTAAAATTAAGTGCAGTCACGAGGCTGTCCCGTTTATTGACCGGTTTATTGACCGGCACGACTTATGATGAATTCTGGCCTCAGTTATGGTCATACTTCAAGGACTACTTATGTGTGCATGTTTGTGCGTACACTTGCAAAATGTTTGCGTCAGATAATTATACCTAGAATTGTAATTTTACTGTGACAATGTATTATAATTTGTACTTTTTTTTCCTGTTGTTCGGTTTCACTTATTTTTTTAATTCCTTGCTGTGCGGTTTTCTTTTTATTATGTACATTTGGGCTTTGTATCTTTTTTCCTTTTTCTGCCATTATTTTAGAAAGCAATAAAACATATTTTTAAAACCTAATCCCACCATAAGAGTGTTTATAACCTGCGAGGACTGAAAAGATATTTGCAGCCTAAGCCAGGGTTATTTTTCAACCTCGCAAACTATTAATACGGTGGCAGCAAACCGCAAATGCCAGAATGTAGACTTTTCTTTCTGCAAACACTAGGGGATAATATTATGGTTAGGTGCTTTCAGAGGGAAGAGAGGGAAGAAAAGAGCAAAGGAATTGGGGAGTTTTTTCAAATCAAGGTGATTCCGGTCTGAAGTAGCCCAGGACAGATAGTTAAAATCAATATAGGTAATCTTCGATTTACAACCATCATTCAGCGTTCGAATTTGCAACAGCAATGAAAAAAAGCGACTTAAGACTATCACAGCGTCCTCTTGGTCACGCAATCGAAACTTGGAGGCTTGGAGACTGGCATGTACTCGTGACAGTTGCTGTGCCTCAGAGTTACGTGACCTCAGTGAAACATTTAAGTTAATTTTGCCCCGTTGTGGGGTTTTTCTTGACACCGTTGTTAAATGAATCACTGCCGTTCAGGAGTGGGATGCAAATATTTTTACTACCGGTTCTGTGGGCATGGCTAGGTGGGTGTGGCCATGTGACTAGGTGGGAGTGGCTTCTTTTTTTTTTGCAGCAACCCCCCCAGGTGCTCCGTTTTTTTGCCTCCTGGACCTCAGGGAAGCGGTAAGACAGCGAGGGCGATGCGAGCAACAGCTGATCATCGGAACAGCTGATCGTCAGGAGGAAAAAAAAAGAAAAATAGAAATACCAATTTGGCCGAACCAATAGCTGTTTTTTTTACTATCGGTTCAGCCAAACAGTAGCATTTTTTTACTACCAGTTTGCCCGAACTGGGCCAAACTGGTAGAATATCTTCACTGCTGCCGTTTTTAAGTTACATGGTTGTGAAGCGAATCTGGCTTCTCTGTTGACTTCGCTTGTCTGAAGGTTGCAAAAGGGGATCACATGATCCTTGGGACACTGCGACCATCGTAAATGTGAACCGGTTGCTAAGCATCCGAATTTTGATCACATGACCATGGGGATGCTGCAACGGTTGCATAGGCATGAAAACTGCTCATCAGTTACTTTTTTCAGTGTTGTAACAGTCATTAAATGAAAGGTTATAAGTCAAGGACTACCTGTAGTCATATTTGATCTTGTATGGAGATTCTCCATCATCCAGGCCATGGTTGTCCCAAAAGTGCTTTTTTTCAGAAGGCAACTGGACTTTCTTGTTTTTCTTTGAAGACGTTTCTCTTCTCACCCAAGAAGCTTCTTCAGCTCTGACTGGATGGTGAGGAACAGAAGGATTTATACTTCTTGCAGACAGCTGGTCATTTGCATCCTTTTAGAGTATCGTTGAGGCCACTTAGAAGTTTATCTGTGTCCTCAGGGTCACTTGAGTGGTGCAAATGGGTGTGGAGCCTTTTTTGGAACTGCTGAAAGGACTGTGTTGTAAACTGGAGATAGATGATGTCATATCCCTCCTCCTCTGTTGAGAAAGGCCTGTTCAATTTTCATCTAGATGGCCTCTTTTTGAACCCTCTTTCAAACCAGCGGTCCTCTCTGTTCAAAATATGGACTTTGCTGTCTTCAAAAGAGTGGCCTTTTGTCTTTTAAATGCGGATGGACTGCTGAATCTTCTCCCGATGGGTTTGTTCCCCTATGTTTCATCCTGTGTAGGGAAAGAGAATCTGAATTATTATTTGTACCTTTGTAGCTCTTTGAGGACAATTTCCCGAATTAGAAACCAGAACATTTTTGTCCCAAAGCAGACCAAATGATTTTTGCATGCAGTCTCAACATCTCATAATACTAACTACCCTGTTTCCCCAAAAATACGAGCTACCCTGAAAGTAAGTCTGAGCTTGATTTTCACACATGCACCTAATGTAAGCCCTACCACCCCCAAAATAAGCCCTGATTAAGATCCCACCCACTCCAGAGTACACTGGTAAAACTTAACCTAGGGTGGGGATGGGGGTTGGAGCTGCCCTACTACTGACCTTTGGACAGTTGTAGCAGGCCTCATACACCCCGATATGTGCTTTGCCGGCCCATTTCTTCTGCAGCTGGCAAGGCCAGCAATGCTTTCCTGAAGGCCTCTGTAGCTGATAACAAAGCTCTGGATCGATCCAGAACTCTGTTATTGTCTGCAGAGGCCTTCAGGAAAGCTTTGCCAGCCACCGAAGAAGTTACTGAAGGCCTCTGACAGCAAAAAGGAGGCCTGGGGCAACGTGTGCAAGTGAGATTAGTCAGTGGATGATATCCCCCGAAAATAAGACCTGGTGCTTTCTTTGGTGGCAAAAAAATATATTTAAGACAGGGTCTTATTTTGGGGAAAATATGGGTACCACCTACCTGAGGAAGAATTATTGATGGGTGTAACCTATTGGCTATATACTACCTGCCAGTGTCAACTCCTGGACCCAATTCCAAGCTTTTTTAAAAAATTGTTATTTTGCCAAACACATTACCCACACATAATGATTTCTGAGAAAGCGTTTTTGAATGTGTGTGTGTGTTTTATTTAATGCAGCTCAGATTAGAAGCTCCTTAGGAAAATGAGCCGAAGGGTTTGCTGCAGGTAGAGAAACTGTGTACAAAAATAGATTTCAGTCTCTCTCTTGTGATAGTATCCAAAATCAATACCGTCAAGAAATAATAAACGGAGCTATTTTGAATGATCACCAGACACCGATCTAATTTGGAGCGGGAAAATCTGCCAGGATGACTTCAGCTCTCTTTCATTGTTTGAAAGTATCTTTCTTTTCTTCTTTTTTTTAAAAAAAAAAATTGGATCCAGGAGCAAATAAATAAATACATTTGTTAACATATTGCGGTAGCTTTCATCGCACATGGTTTGGATGCCTTTTTGGGTTTTAATTTAGGTGCGCAAATGAATAAATACATGTCCATATTGCAGTACAGTTAGTTTTCAATTTGCAACTCTGAGGCCAGAAAATTCATCGTTTAAGCAGTGTGGCTGTTAAGAGGGACATCATGAGATCGTACTGGATTTTATGACCTTTTATTAGTGTGGCTGTTAAGTGAGACATTAAATGCTGGCTTCCCCTTTTTGACTGTGCTTGTCAGAAGCCAGCTTCATCCATTTACATTGAACCCGGTTTAGTGGCTGAATAATATTGCAATAGACAAATCACATCTTATGCAGGATTTTCATTTTTCTTCTTCCTCTTAAATTGCTTTTCCTCCCCAACAGGTGCTTGGCACACTCTCCTCTTGGTTCTTCAAGGGCTATAGGTAGCAGTCTTCCAGTATTTGAGACGATGTCACAAAAGGAGGGGGTCAATTGGTTTTCAAAAGCACCTGAAGGCAGGAGAAGAAACAACTGATCAAGGAGAGAAGCAACCTGGAACTAAGGAGAAACTTCCTAACTAGTTGTGATGACCCAGGGTAGAATACAAAACAAACACAGTCACAGAAAACAGGTGAAGCCCCTTTTATTCCTTCACTTTGCTTCCAAGCTCCGAATATCTTTGACGGAAGACAAAAAAACTCCCACACAAATAGTTATAAGAAGAAAGGAAAAAGCAACACAAACCAGGCAAGATAAGGGCTGGAGGACGTCCACTGATAACACACACTGGGAAGGACGCCAAACTCAGAGATAAACTAGAGATATTTCCACGCTTTGTTTCCAGCGTTCGCCCGTACGCAGCTCCGTCCTCTTATCCAATTGTCACAGCTGCAGCCCATGAAGAGAATCAAGGCCCTCTCCTCCCCAGTAGACCATCTCTCGCCCTTATCCTCTCCTCCCTGCGTGCCCTAGGATGGAGAGGGGATGGGCCTGGGTTCTCCTCTGACTGCCCAGCCGGCCTCTGCCCTTCCCCAGCCTCCTCCACAACCTCCAGAGCCACACTTCCACTCCCTGTTGGCTGTTCCTCCTCTCCCTCAGAGTCAGTCTCCACCAGGGGCATGACACCAGTGGTGGCATTCAGCCAGTTCGCACCGGATCGGGCGAGCCGGTAGCAAGGATTTGGTGAGGGTCGCCAAACCAGTAGTACTTGTATTGGGGACACCTTCCATTGCTTGAATAGAATCATATAACCTCTATATAACAAGCTCTCTTTGCGAAATATGTTCTAGTTCTCTGGAATTTAACATTAATGTATGTGATGAGAAATCACCTCTGCTTTCTCCATACTAGATGGTTTTCTCCATACAGATTTCAGAATAACAGAGGTGGAAGGGACCTTGGAGGTCTTCTAGTCCAACCCCCTGCTCAGGCAGGAGATCCTATATACCTGTGATGACGAACTTATGGCCCAGATGCCACAGGTGGCATGCAGAGCCATTTGTGCAGGCACATGAGCCCCAGCCAAACTTACCTGCACCTCACATGCATATTTGCAGGCTGAAAATAGGCCTGTTTTGTCACTTCTGGTATTTTCGGGAAAATAGGAAGTGATGAAACGGGCCTAGTTTTCGGCCTGCAAAGCCTGCAGAAGCCTGCAGAAGCCTTCCTTGAGCCTCTGGGAGGCCAAAAAAGGCCTCACACCGGCCGAAAATCAGCTGTGAGGTGCGCGCATGCACAGTGAGGTAAATTTGCCTGCAGCTCGCATGCCGGCACAAATGGCTCTGAGTGCTCTGAGGTTCACCATCACGGCTCTATTCAGTCTCTTCTTAAAAGCCTCCAGTGTTGGAGCACCCACACCACTTCTGGTGGCAAGTTGTTCCACTGGTTAATTGTTCTCACTACGAGGAAGTTTCTCCTTGGTTCTAACTTGCTTCTCTCCTTGATGAGTTTGCACCCATTTCAACACCACGCTTTCCCTCCCTTTCCCCACCCCTGCCAGTGGATTTCCTCCATGATGTGTCCCTTCCAGCCAGTAACACCTCCTTTGCAGTTGTGTTTGTTGGAAACCTGCTGTAGCTTTTCCCCGTTCCTGATGATGGGCCCGCCTATCTTGATTTTCCAGATGTTAATCTATTCTATCACCTCATCTGCAGAAAACACCCCAGACAGTGAAGTCACCGATGGCTCTTGAATTCCTTCCATCTTGCAGCCTTGCCAGGGGACTGGCTCGCGATACAAAACCCTCCCAGGGCCAAAACATGACGATCTCCGTAGCCCAGATGAGAAAACACTGGCCACCGACCAAGCTATGATTCAAAGGTCTCTCTGCGTGCGTAGCCAGAGTTTATCCTGACCTTTGCAGGACAGAGCTTGGAAGGCTGGTTGTACCAGATGGCCAGCTTTGGGTTTTTGAACATCTGGTTCTTGACATGGCTTGAAAAATAAAATATTCTCTCTGAAAGGGAAACCAGAGCTGAATCAGAGCAAAAAGAAAGGAGAAATTAGGTATTTTTGCTGGGCTGGGAGGCTGTAAAACGAGATTCATACAGAGGCTGGCTTCCTAAAATTTGTTTAGCTATGTGCGGGAGAAATCTAGAGTCTGTATTAGCATGAGAAAGTAAGAATAGCACCGATCATGTTACCTAATTTGGTTATGACACATCTGCAAGAAAGCAACTGAGCTCAGAGCCCAGTCCTCCTCTTCCTCCTCCTCCTCCTCTTTTCCTCATTCTGCACTCCCTTCGAGCACTGATGATGTTACCTAGTTGAGTAATGAGAGGTCTGAAAGAAAACAACCAAGCTCAGAGAGCACCAAGGAGCCCAGTCCTCCTCCTCCTCCTCCTCCTCCTCTTTTCCTCAATCTACACTCCCTTCCAGGACTGATGATGTTACCTAGTTAGGTAATGAAAGGTCTGTAAGGAAACAACCAAGTTCAGAGAGCCTTAAGAACCCCCATAGTCTTCCACCTCCCCTCTTCCTCCTCCTCCCTGCAAAGCCCACCCCTTCTAGCACTAATGATGCTACCTAGTTGGGTAATGAAAGGTCTTTAAGAAAGCACGCAAGCTCAGAGAGCGCCAACGACCCCACAATTCCCCCCGAGCTACAAACATTCTCCTTCATAGGTAAAAGAAACTAACTTTGATTAAGATAGATTTTTTTTTAATTCACATATATGCAGTTTAGCATGCTTTGTTTTCACATGACCCCGGGACAATGCAACCGTCGTAAGTGTGAATCAGTTGTCAAGCGGCTGAACCTCTGGACCAACAATGCTGATCATTGGATTCCCAGAATGCTTTTTCTTTTAAACAAACGAACAAACAAGCAGAAGATAGCCAAAAAAGAGAGAATTAATTCATCATTTATTTCCAAAAAGATCCAGAAGATTTGCAGTGAGTTGTTTTTTTTTTTTCTTCTGGATTGACAATTGGCAATTCCTAGCAGAAAACTTAGCCAGCTCTGCTGACTGGGCTTTTTCCTTTGGCTGGCAGAAAGTAAGACAGCATCTGAGCATGTGCGGTGACGTTCACCCGATAAGCCCCGCCCTGCAGTGACATCACTGAGCCGTTAAGTAACCGAGAACGTTAAAGGATGACGTCATGGCAGGATGGCAGCTACCCAGCAACCGGTTCGCTGACCGGTTGCTGGGTGGGCGTGGCCATGGTGGGCGTGGCCTATGGGAACTTCCAGGAGGGCCATTTTTCACCTTCCCCAGAGTCCGGAGGTTTCCCTCAGGCTTCTGGGAGAGGGAAAATGGCCTCCCCAGGGCTCCAGAGGGCTTCCGGAAACCAGAAACAAGCCTGTTTCGGGACTTCTGGAACCTTCCGGGAGGGCCATTTTTCACCTTTCCCAGAGTCCAGAGGCTTCCCTCAGGCCTCTGGGAGGGCGAAAACGACGAACCACATGAAAACTTAACATCCAGTTCAGTTGAACTGGTCCAAACCGGTAGAATCCCACCCTTGCAGCCGCCCTATCAATGTCCCATTTTTCTCCAGACGTTCCTGGCTTGCACTGTTTTCACGGAGTCGTCGATTTACAATGTTCATTTCGGGACCGTTCAAAGATACCCTTTCAAAAGGGACTTAGTTTTATGACACGTCTTATGGCCGTTTTTCACACTTAATGAGCATTGCAGCATTTCCGTGTGATCGTGTGATCAAAATTTGGCCGCTTGGCAATGGCCATCGTATTTATGACGGTCGCAGAGCCCCTGGGGTCACATGATCCCCTTTTTTGTGACCTTCTGACAAGCAGAGTCAACCGGGAAGCCAGATTCACTTAACAACCGGGTTACTCATTTAACAGCTACAGTGATTCACTTAACAACTGTGGCAAAAAAAATCAGTTAACAAATGTCTCATTTAGCAAAGGACATTTTGAGCTCAGTTGTGGTCGTAAGTCAAGAACTACCTGTATAATATTGGCTCCATGTACAATAGATTCACCCTGTTGTCCCTTTGACACCCTGTTCGTTTAGTGACCATTTGAAGTACAACAATGTGTAACTTAACAACTGCAATGGTTCCCTTAACAACAGTGGCAAGAAAGGGCGTAAAATCGGCCAAAACTCACTGAACCCATCCCACTTAACAACAGAATTTGTGGTCAGAAGATGAGGACTGCTTACTCCTGACAGAGGCTATAGAGGTAGTCTTCAGCTTATGACCACAATTGAGCCCAAAATGTATGTCGCTAAGTGAGAGATTTGTTAAGTGAGTTTTGCCCCATTTTGTGACCTTTCTTGCCACAATTGTTAAGTGAATCACTGCAGTTGTTAAACTAGTAACATGGTCATTAAGTGAATCTGGCTTCCCCATTGGCTTTGCTTGTTGGAAGGTCGCAAAAGGGGATCATGTGACCCTGGGGCTCTGCAACCGTCATAAATATGAGTCACTTGTCAAGCATCTGAATATAAATCATGTGACTATGGGGAAGGCTGCTACGGTCATAAGTGTGAAAAATGGTCATAGGTCCCTTTTTTGTCATAACTTCAAACGGTCACTGAGCAAACTGTTGTAAGTCGAGGACTGCCTGTACAACGGTGCTAACTTAACAACTGCAGTGGTTCACTTAACAACGGTAGCAAGAAAAGGTGTCAAGTGGGGCGAAGCTCACTGAGCCCCTGCCCCGCCTTAACAACAGAAATTTTAAACTCAATTTGCCGTCGTAAGTCAGAGACTTACCCATAATTGACAAAGTGATTCTGTTTGCTTGCTCCCTGCCAGAGGCTAGATTTACCCTTGTCTTGGTCTGCGGCTCTCTGTTGATTGTCTTCCTCCACATGCAGACGCACAAACGCACAATCACATTCGCACAGCTCCTCCCTCTCTGGTGGAACCATCGATCCCTTCCTTTCTCGGCCTCGCTTAAGGGCATAAATATTTCAGGAGCCAAAAGGAGCTCCCGCCTTCATTCATTATTCAGCCTCTCTCTCTCTTTAATGCGCCAAAGGACGGTGCCTGGCGACGTTAAAAGGCACCTGCTCTGTAGACCCCCCATTGAGGGGAGGGGAGGAAGCGAGGGGCCATTTGTCCAAGGAACAGATCTAAAACAGCCATCACCCCATTTGTCAAAACCACTAGTAACGTGTTTTCCCGAAAATAAGACCCTGTCTTATTTTTATTTTTATTTTTTCGCCACCAAAAAAGGCACCGGGTCTTACTTTCGGGGGATGCCACCCACTGACTAACCTCACTTACACTCTGTGTGGAAGCCGGATTCGCTTAACGACGGTGTTATGAACAATTGTGGCAGCCAAGATTATAAAAGGGGCCAAGCCAGATTCACTAAACAACAGTCTCGCTTAGCCAGGGAAATTTTGGACTCAGTTGTGGTCATAAGTTGAAGACCTGCTGGCTGGGGAATTTTGGGAGTTGAAGTCCACACATCTTCAATGGTTGCAAAATATTGCTTTTAAAATATAATAAACTCGCTCGATAGTTTCGCTATGAAACTATGTGGTCGTGCTTAGATTTTGGGGAGGAAAATAAGGGGGGAAAATTCTGCCTCTGCCTACCAGCATCCGTCAGTATTCATCCGGCTAGCGTCCGGTCAGTGTGTGAGAGAGTTGAGGGCTGTTTGGAAACCGAAAGAGTATTTGCTGTGTGAGCAAGGAGACAGCAAGGAGCCTGGGCGTGGCTTAGCTCAACTGTTCTGTACTAAAGCTGCTTGCTGCTGTGAAACTAAAACTGAAACTCCTCTGCTTGTGTTTTGCATTTGGAACAGATTTCTTTTCAGGTGCGGAGCGGGAATAGAACTCTTTAGCATCAGAGCGTTTTAATAATAATAATAATAATAATAATAATAATAGAGGCAATACTAATGCTCTGATGTTCATTTCGAAAAATCCTTTCTTAGTAAGCACCTAGAAGCCAAGACGAACCTACGTGCCAAATTTCAAGTGTGTAGGCTTTACGGTTCTGGAGATTTTGTGATGGTGTGTGAGGGGCTTTTCACTTTTACACATACAGTATATAGATTTGACTTCTGGGCTGTGAGGAAGGAATTGCATATTTTTTTAAAAAAATTAATTCCTCCACCAGTAAAACTGATTTTTGGAGTTTGGCTCAGCCTGTTTGTCTCTCTCTCTCTCTCTCTGTGTGTGTGTGTGTGTGTGTGTGTGTGTGCAATTTTTGACAAGCTTTGGCCTCAACATTCCTACTGTTCTGCCTGGGAACACTTATGCAACTGATTGGGAGTGTTTTGAATTGAGAAAAACATTTAATTCCCCACTTTTTGCATAATCACCCATGAACTCGTTCCCTGTCACAACAAATCACTTAATTGACTTAAAGATTGCTGTGTGTGCTACTAAACTATATTCAAAAACCTGCCAAAGGATTCCTAGGAAGGCAAAAGAGGATCGAGGGTAGATTGTTGAAATGACACCAACGGTATCATTCGGGGGAATACCGTTGTT